ATTAAGGTGCTTTTTCGTTGTAATGCATGAAGGTTTGCATCAGGTCAGCTGAAGAGCAGCCACTGTGGCCGCTGGAGTGTACTATAGGTATCATACCACGAGCACAAATAAGTGATAAGGTGGTAAGTGCATGAAGCACAATAGTATTTATACATCATATTACGATTACGCGTACTAGTACCCATTAGGAGCACTGTATGGGAACACAATAGATCTGAAAACTTACTGAGCTGCTGTGTTGTCCAGTTCCTATATAGGCAACTACCTTCTTGAAACACTAATTTATGTGAAATGAACAGAGGACTTAACGTAGAAATTATTAAAAATAACGCAGAAATATTCCAATAGTCAATATTTGATTCCAATGGAGTTATTGTACATGCAAGTATGCAAGGTATTGGAGTAAAGGGTACATGCAAGGTATTTTGCCAAAAGATGTTATGTATAATATTGCTGGCATTGGGAACACACCTAAGATGCCTTAAAATGCTTAGGTCTAGGTTTGCAGCTTACTAGGTTTTGGAACAGAGCTATAGAGCATATATATATGTTTTGGCATATTTTGAAAATCTTAACGAAGAACCGGTAATACTGCAAAAGCTCAGGAACCAGTATGGACACTCTTCATGGTGCCAAAATGGCCTTCTGTTGCTGTTTCTTTCTGTGGGCAGACTTGGCCCATGTATTCTTGCCCGAATAACTCTCTCTCCTCTCACTGTCAGCTCTTTCCTCAGAGCTTTAATGGGATATGGGGTCTCTGGTGCTTGCAGGGACGTGTCATCTGTGGAGGTCCTGATGAACTATCACCAGAGCCTCAAGAGTGAAGTGGAGACCAGAAACAAGAGCGTCCTACAGTGTATCGAGATGGGCAAGACTTTACTGGCCGCCCGTAACCCTGCATCAGAAGAGGTGACACAAAACAGCTTGCACAACCTGTTCAGAAACTATTGGAAATTTGAAATCATTGCAAGGCCCAAAACATAATCTATGCATGCATTGTTGCAATACAAAATGTTTCAGACTGCAATTACATATTGCATTCTCAACATTGCCAGAAGGGGTGCTATAGTGTGTATTAACATAAACATTTCTTCTACAATCAATATTCTCTTTCAAAAAGTTGCTTTAAGTTGTTTTTAAGTTTTAAGTATTCCCCCTGAATATGGTTTGTTACTGCCACAGCAATAC